TTATAATATTTAATAAATTTAATAAATATAATATATCAATTTTATATACTTATTTGACTGAATTGATACCAAATTGAAGCCAATTTTAGGCTGATTTATGGTTATTTAAATTTCGAATTAATGCCGAATGATGCTGAATTGAGATCAATTTTAGGCTGATTTATGGTTATTTAAGTTCCAAATTGATGCCGAATGATGCTGAATTGAGGTCAATTTTAAGCTGATTTATGTTATTTAAGTTTTGAATTAATGCTGAATAATGCTGGATTAAGGTCAATTTTAGGCTGAATGGCCATATTGATTAGCGTCTATCGGCATCTGAATTATTGCCGAATTGAGACCAGTTTTAGGCTGATTTATAGTTGAATTTAAGTTTTGAATGGCCATGTCCGATTGGGGTCAATCAGCATTTATCGGCACCTATTTGTGCTGATCAGAAAATATGACAAATCGGCTGTAAATAGTATCAAAATCAGCCTAAAATCAGTTATCCAATTTTAGGCTGATTTAGACTATTTCGACTAGTGAGTATCCTGTAACGAGATAGTTCAATAGTATTACTTAAGCTCTTTTACGAGAAAGTGAATTTTTCTTGTTACTCTTATTAATAAAAATCTCATCTTGAAGTTTATTACGAAGCTCTTGATTTATATCTAAAAACTGTGAATATGTTTAATCAAACATGGTATTTTATTGTACCATCATAATAATTCTACTTTAAAAATGAGCCAATCACAAATTTTGATAGATCCTAATGAGGCTAAAAGAATCAAAAAAAATCTTATATTGCGTAATATATATTATTGCCTGACTGAATATTATTCTAATCCTAAATCCCTAAGAAATTCATATAAAAAAGAGAGCACTGATTCCACTTAAAAGATATAAAAGATTAGCTAAAACATCAGCAATTATACCAAATCTATATGCTACCTAAGCATATTCCTAGAGTCAGTTATGAAAAAATAACCTGACCAAATTGTGTTCATTAATGTGATATAATGTTTCTTACCCATAATCATTACAGAGGTAAGACCTATAAAATGGTACTTAATATAATAGATTGTATTTTCTGATATAAGGTTTTAGTTTTACTTATATCAAAAAATGCCTATGAAGTTGCTAAAGCATTTAAAAAAAAATATGGTGATTAAAATAATCCATTAACATGATCAAAGCTTCTACAATGTAATGGTGATTGTAAATTTATAGACAAAACTTTCTGACTAATGCAAGAGAATAATGTTACAATTCAAGTAATAGGACCCTATAGCTATAGAGGTACTGCAATAGTAGAATGTTTTAATAAAATGAAAGAGAATATGCTCTATAAGGTTCAGTATGCTATTGAGTCTATATCTTCTGATCTAAGATTAATAAGAACATGAGTTAGACATTTGCCAAAAGTTGTTGATTACCTAAATCATTATCCTACGTATCTTATTAAAAAATCAGATTCTTCAAAATAAGGATTAGTACCTTTAGAAGCCATTTTATTGAAAAAGATTGAATCTAAGCTGTCAATATCATCGAAGTGATCCATTGTTAAGAATGAAATAATATTAAAGAAAGATGACTCAGGCTGTTATCTTCTTGCCAATGCTGAATGAAAAGGTGGAATAGAATTATATAGTTATTAAGTCTTTATAAGTCTAAAAAATCGTAATATCTAAAAATGAATCTGTGCTTTATTATCTTGATGATAGAGAATATACTCTAAAGTGAGGATTTGTAAGAGAAGAGTTAATATTAATATCTGATTTAGAAAAGGTTGAATATCCATCTTAAAACATATTATCTGTGCATTTCATTTATGCTTCTTCTAATAATAATGAGATAGATCAAACTATTGATTATGCCAAAAGATGTGGTAGTCAATATTTAGAAAGGACTGGACAAATAAATGATCATAGTGTATATCTTTGATTTTATGAAAATGGTACACACCAGTGAGAATATCTATTAAAATATATTATGAAAAATTTGAATAGTATTCACTATGTCATCATGTAAGAGGTGAGTGTAAGTGTCAATATATTTTTAAGGATCTGCTAGGCAAAAAATTCCTATTACGCAGGTCAGATTTTTTGGATAGAATGCAACTCGATGAATATAATAAGAAATTGCGTTTTGCATTCAAATTTTAGGGTTTCCAACACTATCATTACAATAATCTATATCATTGAGAGAATAAAACTTTAGAAATATAAAAAATACGTGATCAAAAGAAGCAGAATCTTTACAAGAAGTAAGATATATACCTTATCAAAGTTCCCTATATTGCTGATCTTTTTTCCTATATCAAACATACGTTAATCGAGAAAGGATTTTTGAATGGAGTGAAGTGGTCTTAAAAGGATTAGCTAAAGCCTACGTGATTTTAAGCGAACTAGTTTGCTGAAATTTCACTAAAAAATTTTACTTCGCTTGATATAATATTAATAATTCTTAGTCTTGATAATATAAAAGTCAAAAAGTTTGATTTGGCAAAAAAAATCATTCTCTATGTTGATGAGATTAAAGATGTAAAAAGGTTTAATAGATTACATTCAACCTCTTAATAGCCCTTTACATTACTAATTAGTAGTTATATCAATTCAGGAAAAACTAATGAAGTCATGAACCTATTATTAGGAAATAAGCTTTATCGCATATTTAATGGTAAAAAAGGAGAAATACGTTATATAAAAAATGACAATTTAATCTTTATCAATTGCTATCTTAAAGAACCAAAATATTTATATCTCAAATCAATATATTAGATAATTGCAAATAGCCTAAAACTATATTGTGAAGATATTACATTTCAGGTTCTGAAGTCTGATAAAATTCCAAATTCTAATTCCTTTTCTCCAAAAAGAGGTACAATAGCTATATGGGTTGATTGCTAGGAAAATCAGGTTCTGGGAATTTTTTAACAAAATTGAGATTTTTATTGCATTTTAGTGTTTTTGATGTTATTAGATTAAAATGTATTAAGCTCTTAATTAAGTGAAAAATTTCTCGGAACCTGATTTTTCTAGAAACCCTCCCATATTTGAAGATGTGTATGCTGATTTGAAGAAAGTTCAGGAAAAAATTAAATCTTATTTCTTTAGAGAACAATACAGTAATATTAGCAGTATTTACGTCTTTTAGAGTTTTTTTGATTACCCAAAACTGATAAGAAAAAATTTAAATTATGTTGTATTTTTTAATTGGTCTACTTCAGATGAATTAACTCATATTCTTCACCTATATGCTAATGATTGACATAGCATATATGTAGATGTTGAAAACTATTTATGTGAATAGAACTTTATTGTCTTCAATTTGATAGTATCTTAAATCATCTTCACTGAATACGAAAAGGATGGGATACGTCATTTCTTAGTGAATAGAATTTTTTCTCAAAGCTATTGAGTAAGACAAAATATATATTTTTTTCAGGTTTTTAAATCATATTCAGATTTACTATATCTTTTCGTCCATAATTTATTTTCATGAGTGCTAGAATATATTTTCAGTTCTATAGTCACATCATTATGCTTCGTTTTGGAAAGGATATGATCAATAAGAGCAATAATTTTTCTATTCTTATGTTGACATTTATTCTCTAACAGGTTAATAGATTTTTCAGCTGATGTAATAGCTTTTCTTGTATCAGGAATTATACTTTTGAAAAAAGCTACTGAATTTGATAATTAGGTGACTTTCTCACTATTCTCTTTCAAAGACCTGGTCATAGCTACCTCACAAGACTTATATTGTTCTTGCAAATCGAGAAGCTCTTCAATCTTTTTTTCCAATACCTGCTTTGATATACACAACTTCTTATTTCCTTACTTTAGTAAATTTTCACAGTTGCTAATAATAGGCTTTATCTTCTGATATTCCTTTTTCTTAATATAATTTTCAACTGCCTTATTTAATAAATCTTTCACTTCAGGGTGAATACTACTTATCTGTTCTAATGATAACAGATATTTTCAAGATGTAAGGTATCACTATATATCTATTTTGATAGATTGAGAAAGTTGGTTAAATTGCTTTGAATAATATATGTGGAAAAAATGGTATCAGTATATTAATAGTCATTTTATACAGATAATAAAAAATTCTAAGAATCTAAGAATTCTGGGCATTTTCTGTATTTAGATAATTAGTGTGAATAAATTTATATATTAATATTGTGAGAGATTTGCTAATAATACAACTTTGATTAAATCATGTGTATATTATAATTTCTAATACTAATTACTTTTGCCAACTAGCATTAATATAGGATCACATTTTACGCAATATAGATAATAAATTTTTTACTAATTCATTTTGCAATTGCTTATTTTCCAATTTTACAATTTTGGTCTTAAGCTCGCTAATACATTATTTAAATGAATTAGTCTTACCAAGACCATCTATTTCAAATTGCATGCTTACGTAATGTAATATTAGTATGTTAATATTCAAAAATAAAAAATCATGTGATTTCAGTGACCTCAGGTCATCCAAATTTCTAAAAAAAAAATACAGATGAATATGTAAAAATAATCAGCCACCAGGATATAGGAAAAATATATAATGTTTTTATGCTAAAATACATGAATAATCTCTTTACTAACTATTTGTTATATAGAGACGTAGGGATAGTAGGACTTGGGTTAACATTTCAGAGTGGATAAGAAGTAGTTTGTTCTAATACCTGCATTAAAAGACTCTTATTCTCGATTATTACATTTTTTAAGGTTAATAGTAAGCGAATAAGAAATTTCAGGCGTGATTGATAAGGGATAATAGAATTTCTGCATGATCTAGATGGAAATATCTTAGTATATTAGCCAGATCATTTACAAGAATATTTATATACATAGTTGTATCTGTGACCTGAATTTTCACAATGCCAAATTGATTACCAATCAGTTTATATAATACATTGATATAACTTGTTCTATCTAATGTTTCTCTCTATAACTTAACCTTATCATCTGATTTTTTTGAGTTACTATACACAATACATGATGATTCAGTATACAATAGCTCAATAATTTTTTGTCTTGCTTCAATAAACCCATAATGTCAGGTTTTTTTTTCATTTGCTTTTCAATTATTCCTAGATTTTTTCGAGCTTTGCTTGCTATACTTTGATATTCTGCTATACTTAGACAAATAGCACTATTCAAAAGATCACTTAAACTTGTTTGAAGTAAAGGAATTATGACATCTGCAATATATATCTCTTCACTTTGCTCACTGCAGGATGTACTGGTCATAAATGCAGAATTGCTTCATATTTCACTATTGATAAAAGAAAGTGTGATTAATACAGTGATGTTCTATTAATTTTTGAATAAACAAGCAACTTACATTATGCCTAGAATATGTTCTGTTATTTTACTAAATCTGTCTCACTTTCTTTTCATTTTTTATTGTGAAATATGTTCTTCATAGATCTTACATTCTTTGTATTATTGAAAACTTTCACAAAATTAACATACTTAGTAATAACTGAATCAGATAAGGCACATTTCATATTTTTTTGAGGTTCTGTGAAAATATTTTTTTGCTTACTTCCCAAGTTTTTCACAATATCTGAATTATCACTTAAAACTATGCTTACTTTAGGGTCTCATCATGTAAGATCTGAAGATGCTATACTCGCTAAACTTTATTTAAGTAAACCATAAAGGTTTATGTCCACTTCTGTTATAGGATGCTAAGCACAAAAGCTTGTTAGTTTTAAACATAAAAAATCTCCAAACGGTATAATAGTTACCTTAAGTTTAGATTTTAATATATTAAGAATTTCTTCTATTTCTTCTTGAGTATGATCGAGAGATAATTCTCTATCTATATTCAATGCTTTTAATGCTTTTAGCTTGCGAACACTGATATATTCACTCTCCACTTACAGTAGATGTGATAAAAAAGTATCAGTATATTATTCCTATTCTAAACTCATGAATTATAATTCCTACCATATATGTGTTTTCAGGAATTTTTTAAAAAACATATCTTCATTATTTTAGCTGAATAGTCATGCACAGTAAAAAGGAGCAGAAACCTTCAACATCCTAAGACATTGATCTTCTAGACTGGCATTCCTTGACCTTTAGTTATGACATATCAAAACTAAAGCCAACATCTACTATAGTGTCATTATTAAAGTAAGAAATAAAAATAAAAATCTCATTTATGTCATACCTGCGATAATATTTCTAATACCTTAGTTCTTCGACCAAAATCTGTTAGCTTTACTATAATGAATTAACTGTCTAGTCAACTATTTTCTGTACTTTATCATATAGAGGTAGAATATTATCCTCTATTGTTAAATAAATCATGGACACCTTATAAAGAGTATCAAATGATTCTTGTAATAAAAGAGCTTCAACTTTGACTACTAAATTCAATATAGTGAAAAATATTAATAAAAATATATTGATATAATGTGAAGTTTTCAATGACTTAAACATAAATTTTTCATACTGCCCTTTTAAATGTCACAATTTCTTACATTCTCATTCTCTTTATGTTAGAAAGAGATAGGAGAAATATGTAAGACACTTTATGCTAAAATTTTATGTTTGTTAGTAAAAGACATGTGAAATGTGCATTGAAGATCTTGTCATTTTTAAAGATATTAGAGACAATGCATATATAAATTTTTTTTTGCCTGACCGTTTAATAGTAAGACCTGATAATATTATATAGATATTATTTTACTTAGAATATTCTATTCCTCTAGAGCAAATATACATATTAATAAATGTTATTTTGCTAAATCTTATTTTGCTAAATGTTGTAAGAAAAAAATTTGAAATATTATGAGGATCAATTTATATGTGAAATTATTTTATTGCATAAGTATAGTTTTACAAATAATTTGTGAAATATCACCTATTACATCATATGTATTTTAACAAAGATTAAAAATGTGCTAATTTATGTCGCACACGCCAACATGTATTATGATTGGATAATATATTATTTTATTAAGACAATATTCAGGATCTGATCAAGGACTGATCTGAAAAATTCAGCGTATAAACTCATAATTATCATTCAAATCTGAGAAATTCACAGTAACATCCTTTTCATGAATATAGTATAGGAATTTTAACGGCAGTGAATCACATTTTCTTTGTATTTCTGTTGATTTACTCCTATATTTTTCGCAATCTAAAATTCTGATGATATTTTCAAAGTTATATTTTTTATTAATATGATAATATTTGGAATTCTGTAACTATTTAAACATGTCAGACCAGCTTATACTTCTAATAATTATATAGCTTTGCTAATATAATACTCTAAAAGTAGCTATATATACTATAGTACCTAATCGTCTATATAACTGATTTCTCTTTACATCTGTCTAAGTAGTAGTAAAATAAATATTACGCTTATTTTCTGCATAAAATCGATCACTCATATAATTAAATTCTATTGGTTTTCTATTAATAAAATGATATGTTTTATCATAAGAAACAATATCTAAAAATTTCTTATTATCAGGAGTACTATCATTTCTTATCACCTTCTAAACCTGTTTTGTTGAAGACTCAGATCTTTTTTTATAATTTCTGTAAGCTCACTGAATAACTACAGCATAAAAATTCTCAAACTAATAGTTATATTATCTTGCAATCAAGAATCTTTAAGATCATTTATTAATCTTCCTGAACTTCTCGAAAAATACTTTATTAAAATAATTATAGATTAGAAGATCTAACCTAGAATAGGTAGATCATGCATAGTGTCTGCAGGTAATACATTTCATGCATAACGCCTTCAACTAATTTTACTAGGTGATTATGCATGCAGATTATATAGCTATTATTTTGTAAAAAATAAAATATAAGCTATGTTTGACTAAATATAATTAAGATACATAATGCTAATATTCAGTTGAAAGATATAAAGTCTATTTTCTTCTTGCATTTATCCGCACAAAATTAAAATATGCTTCAACAAGATCACCTAAAGTAGTTCTGCTAAAAATATTAGGCATATTTGATCGATCGTTCTAAAGATTTCTAATCTCAGATGCACTTGCATTATGTTGTATTAATACAACAGGCTTTTGTGACAATAGAGGAGGAGTTGGCTATTTAGTGCTTCAGATTTTTAGTCGTTACCATAGGTAACAGAAATTAGTGAAACCATTTTTTGCCTGGTATTAAAAATACAAGTTGGCATAGTTTTTTTGCTACAATTACTTTAGATTGTGTATAATTTTTATAGCTAACCGTAAAATTCGCATCATAATCATATGATACTAATGTTAACTTATCCTTTTCTGGGTGTAAAGTTGATTGGAAGAAAAGTTCTAGATGAAAACGATTAATTTTAACCTCTTTTCGTAATATATATTGTTTATATTGCCAGATCTGAAATTCGCTATTATCAATAGATTTAAGAATTTCTTTTCTACTTGTATATTCATTCAAAATAGTATTTTCAGAAATACATCTTTTTAAGTGGCCATCATGATAGAGACGAGTACTATAAACAGTTTCAGGTATGAAAACTAAGGAATCATATACACTACAATATATATAATTTGTTGGATGAGCATGAACTTTATTATTTTCATAAAGCTTTTCATACATTATAATATATCCATTCTTAGAAAGAATTCTTGGATTCTCTTCAAGTATTTTTCTAAATAGATCACAGATACGAGAGTATTACATTTCTGATGTTTTATGATCATATCGTTTACCTAAAGGATATAATGCTTCTAATATTCTTTTATATTCTTTGAAGTTTACATCACTATAGCTTATAAAAACTAGCTTATATTGGGCTCTACTATCTAAATCTATAATAGTATTTTAGTAGATTATAACAGATTATAACGATTTTAAAGTATTTTATCGATTTTGGCTAATTTAAGCAATATTATATTATAATAAAATCATATTCATTTTTATTTGATTGTTTGGGTGAAAACAGATTCATATTTTTTTGATTCAGCTAAAATCTGATCAGCTAAATTATAAAATTTGTATCACATGAAATCTCCCTTAGTACCTAGTCAGTTTTCAGCACTTTCTCGCTAACTCAAATTACGAGGAGTTACAGATCAGATCAGCCAATCAGATTTTTCATAATAACTAAAGTAGTTATACAGAAGTATAACTTAGTCCAGAAAAAACAACTTTTTTGAAAAGATGTCTATAGGAAACTAAACGAGCGGAAAAGTACAAATTACTTTACTAGTAAAGACTGTTATAGGAAATTCAGAAATCTTGTAAAGGTGTTTAAAGTAAGTACTACTTACTTAGGTTCTATGAAGAATCTGGCTGACTAATAATATACTTTTATTATTTTATTAAATTGCACAAAAGTATAGAAAAAGGTGGAAAAAAAAGAGTTTAATTGCAAAAGAGCTTTATAAGGAGGTTTCTACCAAGTTTTGGTTAAAACTTAGTGTATTTTCGAGGAAAATTTTTCAGGAGAAGCTTTTCATTATTAACATATCTATTTCAATTTGCTAGATTCGAACAACCACATAATGAGAGCATGTCTATCATCATCATCACATATAGAAGAGTCTATAGGATTTCAGCAATCTCTAGATAGCAAATATTCAATGATCAAGTTCCTCTTCAGAGAAACTCATCTAAGGAATCATATAAAAACTATTGTTACATATTCTGAAGATTCTCCTGTGGAATCAAACCCATAAACCCTACTCTATTTTCTTTTCACAAAGTACAAATGTAATTAATGTCACTATCAATAATAATTTCAAAAGGATTAGAATGTTTTTTTTTATTAATAATATAGTATAGTATGAAAATATGTTAGTAGAATGCGAAAGCAAATGTATTATTCATTAATATCACTTGTTAAAAATTAATAAAATTCCTTATTATAACTTTATAATAAACTAGACATTATATAGATGGAAACATTTTTTGTATTTGATAACCGGTCTAATTAGTATCTGATTTTACTCTTTCTCTATTTTTTCTTTTATAGTAAAATAAAAGAAATAAAAAAACCAGCTTTAACATAGTAAAGAATAAATGATATAAGAATTGAAATAAAGAGAAAGAAAAAGAAAAAAATTTTTTAGTTTTTTTACAGTTTTTTACTAAAGAAATGATTTTACTACTGGTTTACAATTTTTGATCTAGCACAGTTATTTAGAATGAACAGGTTTTTGTATAAATATACTAAGGGAATCAAGGTAGAATTAATTTGGTTATAAACCAGAAATTGTAACCTTTACAGGTTTTGGCAAAAAGGCAGACACCCCGCCATAGGTAGAATGTGATTGGGGATTAGGCGGGGTGTTAGAAGCTATTATCATTATAACCTCAGAAATATGTCGCTTAAGATCACAAAAGAAAAGTTTAAATAGTTGGTGACGGTTTTCATTAAGGGTAGCAAACAGCTATTACTATTAACCACTTACTTTGATATTAAAAAAAGCTTCTAAAACTGTCACCAAGTTTAAGAACTGTGCCAGTTCCGTTGGGATAACTACATTAGAAACCAATATCATCCTATATACAGTCCCCGGCGAAAAGAATGGCGGAGACAGTTTTCGATGGTATGTATAAACTTTATTTTTAATGTTTATTTTTATTTTTTTATTTAAAAGAATAATACTAATGGAACATTTTTTA